TCAAGTTGTTAACAGCTTGTAACAAGCTTATTTAACACACAAAAAAGACTGGGGCCCAACAAAAAAAAATTCAGGGGCCCCCAGCACCTCGGGGCCCAGGGCAATTTGCACCCCTGCCCCCCCCCCCACCCCCCCTCTTGGCGGCCCTGACTGTCCGACACAGTCATGATATAACAATATTGTTACAACCTTGTGTTGTCAACCTTGTAATATTTATCAGTTATAGACCTGAAACGAGGGGTATTCCACAAAAAAATACCCTGAGGGATGAAGGGGGCGAAGGCTACCCTGAGGGATAAAAAAAAAATTACCCTGAGGGATGAAGGGGGCGAAGGACGAGGGCGAAGCCCGAGGAATATTTCATCCCGCAGGGTAATTTTTTGTGGAATACCCCGAGTGAAAGGTCTATAAATGGTATATTATACCGAACCTTTCAAAAATAAGTAGAAAACAAATACCATTCAATTAACTTTTAATTTCAAAACACAACTTTTGATAACTTTACATTTAAAAAAGTCGAATTTCCCGCTCAAGCGTGGTATTTCGAAGTCGAATACCATGGCCCCGGGTAAAACACCCAGGGTTCAAATTGCCTAGGTCATAGTATTCGCTGAAAAATACCATGGTCATGTGGTACAAATTTAGTTCTCTGATTGGACAAGCTCATTCTGAGGTACAATATTCTTGTTTATATCATGACTGTATCAGAACTTGTTAGAACATTAACCTTGTAACAAATCTGATAATGCCATCAAGCTTGTTACAAGTTGTTATCAGCTTGTTCCAAACTTGTTACAACAACTGGGAACAAGCAGTGCGAACACAACTTGTTGACAGCTTGTGAACAGATTTGTAACAACTTGTTTGCAGACCTGGAACAACTTGTCCGTTTTTACGTGTGTACACGCCAGCGGCGGCGGAACAGATTTCGTTCTGGGGGGGCTAAATTTTTTCGGCGACCTCCCCCCCCCCCCGTCGCAAAAAAAATTTCGGTCAGTGTACCGCTTTAGGGGTACAATATACAAAAAAAGGGACGAAAAAAATTTTTTCGGACTTATATCAAAAAAATTTTTTCGGAAATACACTTTTTTTAAACAAAATATTGCAAATTTGTCCCCTTATACCTAAATTTTCAAAAAATAACCTAAATTTTTCCCTAATTATCAATTTTTTTCTCCAAAAACTCAAATTTTCTGGGGGGGCTAAGCCCCCCCACTTTTTCTTCTGGGGGGGCTTTAGCCCCCCTAGCCCCCCCTGTTCCGCCGCCCCTGGTACACACGTAAAATCGCGCAAGTTGTTACAGATCTGTAAACAAATTGTAACAAGGTTGTTGTGAAGCCGATATCAGGATGTGTTCGCACTGCTTGTTCCCAGTTGTTGTGACAAGTCTGGAACAAGTCGTTATCACCTTGTTACAAGGTTTATGACGGCGACATATTTGCTGCAAGTTGTTCCAACAAGGCTAATACAGGCTGTTCGTAACAAGTTGCTACGAGCTTCTTGTCATCAACTTGTTAACAACTTGTTACGTGCAGACGATATCAGACTTGTTGGAACAACTTGTTGCGAGTCTGTTGGCCTCGTCAACCTCGTGACAAGATGATAACAACTTGTTCCAGACTTGTCAACAACTGGGAACAAGCAGTGTGAACGCATCTTTCTGTAAGAAATTTTTGAGGGAACTAATAGACCTTTCCCCTTTAAGTGAAATTTTGATCTAGACTAGTTTGGACAAAAATTTCATCACAGCTTGAAAGAGTATCGCAAAATTAGTAATATTCCGAAGTTTTGTTGCAAAATGTTGTAAAATGCGGATAATATAGCCTTGCGAAGTTTGCCGTTTTTCAGTCATTTTGTATTACAAACGGCAAATTGATAATCAGTTTGATCATCTGATTACCAATTTCCCGTTTGTAATGCAAAATGACTGAAAAACGGCAAACTTAGCAGGGCTATATTATCCGTATTTTACAACATTTTGCAACGAAACTTCCGGAATATTACTAATCTTGCGATGCCCTTTCTGCTGTGATGAAATTTATATCCAGACTTGTCTAGATCAAAATCTCACTTAAAAGGGGAAAGGTCCATTCATCGGTTTAACACTGAGTCAGTTTCCTTAAACATTTCTTACAAATCCTTCAAAACTTAGAATTTACCAATGCAAAATTCCTACTGTGATCACAGAGGTTTTGATACTGTAAACCGAGCTGCCTCATACCCAGGCGCTTTAAATAATTATAATACATGAAGTATTCAGGCAGGTAGGCAGGCGGGCGATGCGCGAAGGGGCTGTTGGGAAGGGTGCACTCTTCCCATCAGATCCTTCGCCCTTCTCTCGCCACTACAATACTTCATGTAAACTCGTCATATGCGCACGAGTCTGACAAACCAGCTTTTAAATCATGTCAACTTGGAGATTTTATACGTGCTTCTACACATAGTGGCCTGAGTACGAGCCAGTTGCGACCACTAGTTTCAGATTTAAAGTTCACTTCAGTGATGCATATCGTGTATAATTGTCCGCCTATTAGATTCGTCTATTCCCACGGTCGCGCGTGTCTTAGATATTACATATTGTCTTCGACACAGCATGAGCCGAGCTATGGTTTCTACATGCGATAAAATGTTGTTGTGAAATATGACTTTAAATACATATTTCCTTCTTAAAATTTATCAACTATATGTCTTTCGTCAACATTATTCAACTTTATGACATTTTTAGGGGTTGCTTAGTAATTTGGGTACCATATCAAAGCAAATTCCATCGGCGATAATCGCTAATTTGCTATATGACAATTACGCACTATAATTAGGCTCGCCAATAATTTGGTATCGCATTACCACTCAATTAAATTAAAATTATCAACTGACTGATTAATTTTAGCAACTAATTGTAATTTTAGGTTTGTCAAGCAATAGTCTAACTATTATTCGCTTTGTAAAACCGTGAATATTTTTAAAATTTCAAATCGACCAATTTGTCCAATCTTTTCAATAGTCAATACCTTTCCTGCTGTTACAATTGAAAAGAGCGAATTTTTTTATGCAAATGAAGAGCTTTTTATATCAAACAAAGTTGGTATCGATTGCCAAAAGTTACAGTGAATTTTTGAAGTTTTTTGGTCTAATTTTCTGACCATTTTCTCACAATTTCGAAGGATTATACGATACAGATAGAGGGCTAACATTTATGGCAAAGTTTGTCGTGAAATGTGGAGTTTTGTGTCTGTTGTTCCTGGCTGTGAAATCAGTGAAACAGCCATTATCCGTGACGAGAGATGTTCTGGATAGTTTTCGAGTTGATGAGTTCAGTTGCGAAGCCGACAGGCATGTATGTACGCGAAGAAATGCGTTGTGCCAGCCTGATGGATCGTGTATGTGTCGGAATAACACGCCAGATTACGTGAATCCAAAGCTCGATGTAAAATATGGCTATCTAGGTCATGGTATGGTGGATGGATGTATGTCAGTAGCGCCATTGGTGGACTCAATTGATCCATGTATGTATGAATTTATAATTATCTTTTATAAGCTGTCCTGGTTTGTATCCAAACTATACATGGGTTTTCACAACTGCTCCTGTTGTAACGAGCCACTCAAAGGTGGAGTCGAGTTATTTCACTATGATCTGCATGCCTGTGTCAATGGCTTCACTCGAGTCGAGTCAATGGCTTCACTCGAGTCAATAATCCCACGAGAAATAGCACGGCTCATTGAAAATCAGCTGTAGTTTCATGTAGTTGCTGAATGGTTACCGTGTCTCAATAAATTTTAAATACAAATGCAAAATACAAATGGCAACACAAATGGCATGGTGAACAAAAAAGTGAACAAAAATGCCAGTTTAAAAACATTTCTCTACCGAGGCAGAAACATGCCTGTATCTGCATCGAGAATTACTTTTTATTTCTTCAACCCCTAGCTTTTAGGACTCTTCCCAACCTATTCAACTACAATATTTTTGATGAATTTATCCTGAACAAGTTGTAGCTGAGTTTACTCGAGTCATTTACGGCAGAAATCCGGACAAGTCGAGTCCGAATCGAGTCATTTGGGGCTGTTGACTCGAGTCGAGTCATTTTTCGCATTCGACTCGAGTCGCAAAAAATTGCGACTCGAGTCCGAGTCAATGGCTCTAATAAATGTATAAAATTCGCACTCATCAATTTCCATATACAAAACCTTTTTTATTATGTAAAGTACAGTGCTTTAATAGAGATTTCGAGCACTGATAAAATTGATAATCTCACATGTGAGATTTATGATAATTTCACATCTGAAAACTATCGCTTTTCAATTATATCGCTTTTCTGTAAAAATTATCGCTTTTCAAAGACTCTCCTTTATATAATAAACAGAAAAATACATGGGTGCGCGGAAATACCAGATTTATTTCACGTGTTGAACATGATATCTCACTCTTGAGATATCACGTTCCACACTCGAAATAAATCTGGTATTTCCACGCACCCATGTATTACTCTCTATTTCAAACACTAATTAATAATTCATAAGCTTATTCATATTGGCAAATCATGTCAACCATAATATGTCACGTGCAGTGGCTTTAAACCTGACAAAACACTCCGAATTAGTATTCTTTACATAAAGAATACTAATAAGACAGTATCTATTGTAGTCGTGTCCTCATTAGTATTTTTTATATAAAGAATACTAATAAGGCAGTAAATCTATTGAATTTGTAGTCGTGTTTGAAGCCGTTTAATAAACTCGCTGGTCGTGTTTTATTAGGTCTAAAGCCACTCGCGCTGCGCGCTCTTGGCTTTAAACCTAATAAAACACTCCTGCTCCTTTATTAAACAGTACATAATACACGCAAGACAGTACAACTTATTTAAATATATCGCTAGATTACAAAATACAAGCTATAGCTAAATATTATGTCTTCGTATATTGCAGATAATCTGGCGTGTTCCTATTCCTTCCGTCCCTATCAGCTGGTTCCAAGCACTCGTCAAGAAGATCCAATCTTGTTCATCCATTCAGCTGGGACACACTACAGTTCATGTAACTTTTCGAATGCCTTGGTCAGGTATCCGAGTGAAAAGTCATGGGTATCTTTGACATGGTTGAATGAAAATTATATTGATATCAATATGACTTATGTTGGAGTACTTTTCTTTGGGGTAAGTTTGCTTTCTATTCCTATTATGTCATCTTCCCTCAAGAATAAAATAAACAGAGATATCTTGTAGAAAGTCTCATATCTTGTAGCAAGTCTGCCAACAAGCCGTCAACAAGTTGTGTTCGCACTGCTTGTCCCAAGTTGTCAACACGTTTGGAACAAGCATGCAGTTAACAACTTGTAACAACCTTGTTGATATTATCGCACTTGTTGCAAGGTTGTTCCAACAAGTCCCATACAGTCATCACACAACAATATTGTTACAACCTTGTGTCCTCAATCTTGTAAAATTCTTGTTATATCATGACTGTATCAGACTTCTTAAAACAACCTTGTAACAAGTCTGATAATGCTACCAAGCTTCTTACAAGTCGTTAACAGCTTATAACAATCTTGTTGATCTTATCAGACTTGTTGCAAGGTTGTTCCAACAAGTCCGATACAGTCATGATATAACAATATTGTTACAACCTCATATCGCCAACCTTGTAACAAGTCTGATAATGCCATTAAGCTTCTTGCAAGTTGTTAACAACTTGTAACAAGCGTGTTGATATTATCAGCTTTGTTGCAAGGTTGTTCCAGCAAGTCCGATACAGTCATGATATAACAATATTGTTACAACCTCATGTCGTCAACCTTGTACATTATTGTTATATCACGACTTTATCAGGTCTCCGGTCAACTTGATTTTTAGCTAGGTCAAAATCTGTTTTTGTGACCAGTGCAGGTCAGCATTTTGTGGTCAATTTCAGAAATGTTACCATTATAGCAGCAAGAAAATTAAACTATACACGAAAAACCCACAAGTTTAATTGTTACAGGTCTGCAAACAAGTTATTACAAATCTGTTCCCAAGCTAGCGACAACTTGTTCCCAGTTGTTTAAACAAGCTTGACGACATTACCAGACTTGTAGCAAGGTTGATCCAACAAGTCCGATACAGTCATGATATAACAACATTGTACAAGTTGTTTAAACAGCTTGCAACAAGCTTGTTGATATCATCAGACTTGCAGCAAGTTGTTCTAACAGGTTCGATGCAGTCATGATATAACAATATTGTACAAGTTGATTAACAGCTTGTAACAAGCTTGTTGATATTATCAGACTTGTAGCAAGGTTGTTCTAACAAGTCTGATACAGTCATGATATAACAATATTGTATTCAAGTTGTTAACAACTTGTAACAAGCTTGTTGATATTATCAGACTTGTAGCAAGGCTGTTCAAACAAGTCTGATACCGTCATGATATAACAATATTGTATTCAAGTTGTTAACAGCTTGTAACAAGCTTGTTGATATTATCAGACTTGTAGCAAGGTTGTTCTAACAAGTCTGATACAGTCATGATATAACAAAATTGTATTCAAGTTGTTAACAGCTTGTAACAAGCTTGTTGATATTATCAGACTTGTAGCAAGGTTGTTCCAACAAGTCTGATACAGTCATGATAATTATAGAGAATAATACATGGGTGCGCGGAAATACCAGATTTATTTCGAGTGTTGAACATGATATCTCACTCGTTCGCGCGCTCACTCGTGAGATATCATGTTCAACACGAGTGTGTTTAAATACGATTTTTTACGTGTGTTTAAATACGATTTTTCTCAGTGGCCAAAAACTCTATATAACACTTATGTTTATATAACTTATATAATAAATAACAATATTGTACAAGTTGTTTAAACAGCTTGCAACAAGCTTGTTGATATTATCAGACTTGTAGCAAGGTTGTTCTAACAAGTCTGATACAGTCATGATATAACAATATTGTATTCAAGTTGTTAACAGCTTGTAACAAGCTTGTTGATATTATCAGACCTGTAGCAAGGTTGTTCTAACAAGTTTGATACAGTCATGATATAACAATATTGTATTCAAGTTGTTAACAGCTTGTAACAAGTTTGTTGATATTATCAGACTTGTAGCAAGGTTGTTCTAACAAGTCTGATACAGTCATGATATAACAAAATTGTATTCAAGTTGTTAACAGCTTGTAAGAAGCTTGTTGATATTATCAGACTTGTAGCAAGGCTGTTCTAACAAGTCTGATACCGTCATGATATAACAATATTGTATTCAAGTTGTTAACAGCTTGTAACAAGCTTGTTGATATTATCAGACTTGTAGCAAGGTTGTTCTAACAAGTCTGATACAGTCATGATATAACAAAATTGTATTCAAGTTGTTAACAGCTTCTAACAAGCTTGTTGATATTATCAGACTTGTAGCAAGGTTGTTGTAACAAATCTGATACAGTCATGATATAACAATATTGTATTCAAGTTGTTAACAGCTTGTAACCATTTTGTTGATATTATCAGACTTGTAGCAAGGTTGTTCTAACAAGTCTGATACAGTCATGATATAACATTATTGCATTCAAGTTGTTAACAGCTTGCAACAAGCTTGTTGGTATTATCAGACTTGTAGCAAGGTTGTTCTAACAAATCTCATACAGTCATGATATAACAAAATTGTATTCAAGTTGTTAACAGCTTGTAACAAGCTTGTTGATATTATCAGACTTGTAGCAAGGTTGTTCTAACAAGTCTGATACAGTCATGATATAACAATATTGTATTCAAGTTGTTAACAACTTGGAACAAGCTTGTTGATATTATCAGACTTGTAGCAAGGTTGTTCTAACAAGTCTGATACAGTCATGATATAACAATATTGTATTCAAGTTGTTAACAGCTTGCAACAAGCTCGTTGATATTATCAGACTTGCAGCAAGGTTGTTGTAACAAATCTGATACAGTCATGATATAACAATATTGTATTCAAGTTGTTAACAGCTTGCAACAAGCTTGTTGATATTATCAGACTTGTAGCAAGGTTGTTGTAACAAATCTGATACAGTCATGATATAACAAAATTGTATTCAAGTTGTTAACAGCTTGTAACAAGCTTGTTGATATTATCAGACTTGTAGCAAGGTTGTTCTAACAAGCCTGATACAGTCATGATATTACATTATTGTATTCAAGTTGTTAACAGCTTGCAACAAGCTTGTTGATATTATCAGACTTGTAGCAAGGTTGTTCTAACAAGTCTGATACAGTCATGATGTAAGAATATTGTATTCAAGTTGTTAACAGCTTGTAACAAGCTTGTTGATATTATCAGACTTGTAGCAAGGTTGTTCTAACAAGTCTGAAACAATCATGATATAACAATATTGTATTCAAGTAGTTAACAGCTTGTAACAAGCTTGTTGATATTATCAGACTTGTAGCAAGGTTGTTCTAACAAGTCTGATACAGTCATGATATAACAATATTGTATTCAAGTTGTTAACAGCTTGTAACAAGCTTGTTGATATTATCAGACTTGTAGCAAGGTTGTTCCAACAAGTCTGATACAGTCATGATATAACAATATTGTATTCAAGTTGTTAACAGCTTGTAACAAGCTTATTGATATTATCAGACTTGTAGCAAGGTTGTTCCAACAAGTCTGATACAGTCATGATATAACAATATTGTATTCAAGTTGTTAACAGCTTGTAACAAGCTTGTTGATATTATCAGACTTGTAGCAAGGTTGTTCTAACAAGTCTGATACAGTCATGATATAACAATATTGTACAAGTTGTTAAACAACTTGTAACAAGCTTGTTGCTATTATCAGACTTGTAGCAAGGTTGTTCTAACAAGTCCGATACAGTCATGATAAAACAATATTGTACAAGTTGATTAAACAGCTTGTAACAAGCTTGTTGATATTATCAGACTTGTAGCAAGGTTGTTCTAACAAGTCTGATACAGTCATGATATAACAATATTGTATTCAAGTTGTTAACAGCTTGTAACAAGCTTGTTGATATTATCAGACTTGTAGCAAGGTTGTTCCAACAAGTCTGATGCAGTCATGATATAACAATATTGTAGAAGTTGTTTAAATAGCTTGTAACAAGCGTGTTGATATTAACAGACTTGTAGCAAGGTTGTTCCAACAAGTCCGATACAGTCATGATATAACAATATTGTACAAGTTGTTAACAGCTTGTAACAAGCTTGTTGATATTATCAGACTTGTAGCAAGGTTGTTCCAACAAGTCTCATACAGTCATGATATAACAATATTGTACAAGTTGATTAAGCAGTTTGTAACAAGCTTGTTGATATTATCAGACTTGTAGCAAGATTGTTCCAAGAAGTCTAATACATTCATGATATAACAGTATTGTACAAGTAATTTAAACAGCTTGTAACAAGCTTGTTGATATTATCAGACTTGTAGCAAGGTTGTTCCAACAAGTCTCATACAGTCATGATATAACAATATTGTATAAGTTGTTTAAACAGCTTGTAAGAAGCTTGTTGATATTATCAGACTTGTAGCAAGGTTGTTCCATCAAGTCTGATACAGTCATGATATAACAATATTGTACAAGTTGATTAAACAGCTTGTAACAAGCTTGTTGATATTGTCAGACTTGTAGCAAGGTTGTGCAATGTTGACATTATTGAGACTTGCACACACTTGACTAGAAAGTTAGTTAAGTATTTTAGAAGCACGAGGCTAGGGAACCGAGAAGTAATTGGATACGTCCTATGCTGTTTGTACAAGTTGTTTGATATCTATTGTTATACTTAAAAGTGCTTGATATTGATACAAAACCACGAACATTACATTGGCGACGAGGTAAACAAACAAACAAAAAAACCAGCTATCGTTTATCAATACAAACGATTTTGAAATCTCTAGTTTACGAATACAGTCATGGCGACTGGCCGAATCAATGTAGCTCCAATGGGCCATTTGTTCCTATGTCCAATCCAAACTCTCTCAGTCAGCGCTGGAAAACGTGGAAACGACGATTTGAAACATATCTTGTTGCTCTGAATGTGACTGAAAAGAAACAAAAGCGGGCTCTCTTGTTGTACCACGCTGGCCAAGAGACTCAGGATATTTTTGATACCATTGTTGACATCTGCGAAGACGACGACTATGATTCCGCTATCGCTGCCCTCGATAGGTAGTTTTCACCTAAAAAACATGTAGATTATGAAATTTTTAAGTTTCGTGAAGCCAAACAACAACCACATGAAACAATCGATCAGTTTTCAACTCGTCTTAGGAAGCTGGCGGCAACCTGTGACTTCGAAAATATCGACAAGGAAGTAAAATGGGCCATAATTCAAAACTGTTTATCGAAACTTCTACGACGCTACGCCCTGCTTGACTCGGAAGTTACGCTAGCCAAGATTCTCGCAAAAGGCAGAGCTTTTCAACTCAGTGAATCGCAGGCAACCGGCATTGAAAACGCAGTTGACTCAACACATATTTCTGACGAAGTAGTTGAAGCTGTCCATCCTACAACGAAACATAACAATCATCGTGATAAACAACATACATCGTTTCACCGCCAAGACTTTTACACCTCATAAAAGTGTCGGAATTGTGGGGGGGCCCTGGCCCCATCACAACAATATTTGTCCCGCGAAAGGAAAATCTTGTCTGAATTGTGGAAAATCAAATCATTTTGCGAAAGTCTGTCGTAGTGCTCGCAAGGCTCGCGTCGGTCAACAAGAGAATCGAAGGCCTTCAAAAAAATACCACAAAAACAAAGTTCACAAGATTTATGGCAAACCCTCCAGCAGTGAAAGCAGTACCGAGGATGAATTTATTTTTATTCTGAAACCGACAGGTAGAGACAAAACAACTCCACAGGTTCAAATCTCGGTCAACACCACCCCTATCAACATGGTTATCGACACTGGTGCTTCCATCGACATCATCGATGAACTTGCTTTCAACACCTTGCAGAAACAGAGACCCATAGCGCTTCAACTTTTGCATATGGAGCTACAAACCAGCTACCTGTTATGGGACAATTTCGTGCAACTCTAGAATGTTTGACTGGTGCAACAACCACGCACGTTCATGTTATCAAAGGAAATTTTCGTTGCTTGCTAAGCTATCAAACGGCATCTGCTTTGGGAATAATCATGCTGAATGTTAACAATGTGAAACCGGAACATGCCACCCATGAACAACTGATGAAAGAGTATGCCCATCTGTTCAACGGAATTGGCAGTCTTAAAAATTTTGAAGTTAAATTGTTAATTGATGATACTGTCCCTCCAGTAGCACAAACCCCCCGTCGTATTCCTTTCCACATGCGGCAAAAGGTCTCAGATGCGCTCGACACGTTAGAAAGTGATGGAATTATTGAAAAAGTATCAGATGCCACTCCTTGGGTCAGTCCATTAGTTGTTAGATAGAAGATATATAGAAAAACTTTATTTACCCACGCTAACCCTATCAACCGAAGCTGATTTCCATAGGGGGCGTGTCATGCATAAGAAAAATTACAGTAGTTTAAGCGAAATATTACATAAATATAGTTATTTATAAATATGAGGTATAGTAACAAGTACAAATTAGCTAGATAGTAGGAATGGTAGAATAATTATTTACAAGTAGTAGAACAAGTAGTCTTAGAAAATATGAGCAGCAATTTTCTTTTGAAAGCTTGACAGGGATTGACTTTCCCTGATTTCATTTGGGATAGAGTTCCATAGTTTAGCACCATCATACATGAAACTATTTTTCATGCTATTGGTGCGTGGCTGTGGTAGACAAAGACCAGATGAAATATTTCGAAGATTATAATCTGTTATCTCATTTTTATAACGAAAGAGGTTTGTGAGAGATTCAGGGCCTGTTTTATTTAGAGTTTTGTACATCATTTTTGCTTTTGCCTTTTTCCTCATAATATCAAGTGGCTCCCAGCCCAAGGCACACAAAGCAATAGAGTGATCTACATCATTGCTCACATTTGAAATTATTCGGGCAGCTCTGTTTTGGAGCTTTTGTAGTCGTTTTGATTGTATTTCACCCAATACATCCCAAACTTCTGAACAATAGTCGAAGTAGGGACGTACGATGGCATTGTATATGGAGGTGAGCGTATCTCTTTCAGCAATAAATGGTTTGACACGACGTAGAGCTGAGATTCCTGATGTTATTTTTTTGCAAATATTTTCAGTATTGGGTTTCCAAGATAAATGCTGATCAATAATTATTCCTAGAGTTTTGGCTTTGTTTACTTGTTGGATTTGTTTGTTTTCAATTAGGATATTTGGTTGAGCATTAGAGGCATTCCTTATCATTTGTGGAGACCCAATCAACATAAATTCAGTTTTAGCTACATTCAAGCTAAGTTGATTGGCTATTAACCAGTTTTTGAGGTTTTCCAGATCAGAATTTGCTGCAGTCTCAATATCAGCTATGGTGTGACTAGTGGCTGTGATGTTTGTGTCATCAGCGAATAACCGAGGTCTTGTATTTTTTAGACACTCGGGTAAGTCGTTGATATACAACAAGAACAGTAATGGCCCCAAAATAGAACCTTGTCGTACACCACATTTAATCAAATGTTCTGATGAAATAAAATTGTCTATTTGACACTTTTGGTGTCGGTTTGAAAGATATGATTTTAATAAGTCATGGGCTTGACCTGTTATTCCATAAAATTCCAGCTTTTTCAGTAAAATGTCATGGTTGACAGTATCAAATGCTTTTTTTTAGGTCTATAAAAACTACGAGGTTAAACATTTTCTTATCTATATTCACATACCACTCGTTTGTACAATCTAAAAGAGCTGTTGCTGTAGAATGAGATTTTCGGAAACCAAATTGATTATTACTGAGTAGTCTAAATTCAGTTAAATAATCATAAAGTTGATTGTATAAAATTCGCTCCATTATTTTGCTTATAGTTGGTAGAATTGAAATGGTCTATAATTGCCAGGAATATTTCGATGGCCATTTTTGTAGAGAGGTATTAATCTTGCCATTTTCCAGTCATCAGGAAAGGAGGATAAAGTAATAGCTTGATTAAAAATATATGTAAGTGAATCTGCAATGGCAGGTGCAGCTATTTTAATAATTTTACACGATATTTTGTCAATGCCAGTTGCTTTGTTGCTAGATAATGCGCTGAGCAACTGGTATACATTATTAACATTTGTAGGTT